CATTTGAACCCCGTCACATCGCCCAGGCGAGCAATGCGTCGACCGGAAGGCTCGCCTTATTTCTCCGGCAACTTTGGCCGAGGGAGAGATAAATCCCGTCAACGTTCGCGGCAACTTCCAAGCTCGCGGAACCGAATAACGGATATTACGGTGGAGGTGGAGTGGAGGCTCTCCTGGCTTCGGCTTGGGAGCGACAACTCCGGGAGACTCGAATAAACCTCGAATTGTGCCGCATGCCCGACCGGCGCGACACGCAATATCCCAGGAGAACGAGACACACGTGGCTGGGAGCTGGGAGTGCTGGGACACAAACCGGTGTTACACAAACGTCGCTTTAACGCGAGAGCCTGTTCGATGTGTACTCCACCACACTCGCGCGCGGAATATTTCGGTGCCCCGTTGGGATGGAGAACACCCGCGGGATGTTTTAGTTTACAAGCTCGACACGTTACTTAAGGGCATATAACTAAATTTCCGCACAAATACATAATTTACGCAACAAGTTCGCTAATCTCACAATCGCTGCTGTACTTACCGAAATTCTCACGCGTTCTCCTTTTAGGAAAGAAATTAATACTCAACTCTCTCTCTCTCTCTTTCTTATATTGTATTATTTATCATGTTTTACATTTTATATTATATGTATATATCGCTTATATATTATATATATTATATATCGTACAGTCTGTTATCTCTAACCAGGGATGGACAGTATTTGAAAGACATATATTTAAAATACGTATTTAAATACATTTTGTATTTCGTATTTGAATACTTTTTTTGAGAGTATCATGTATTTGAAATTTGTAAATACTAAATACGTTTAAATGATGTAAACATTGCTTTGATTGAAGTCGCACCATTGTTGACTCAATCTAAAGTGCGTAATGCACGCATGATGTGCATAAATGCATCAGTTATCCTTGTTTACATTTGATGAACAACAAGCTCTCGTTGTGTCTCAGCCAGGAGTGGGCAGTATTTGAAATACACGTTTAAATACATTACGTTTTTACTTTATTGAGAGTACTTTGTATTTTGTGTTTGAATACTTTTTTGAGGTATTTTATATTTTATATTTAAATACAATTTTTTGAGTATTTTGCCCACCCCTGTCTGTAATCTTCTTCATTTTTGTTTACTTTTTCTTTATCATTATTTATATAAGTATTTAGTTTTCTAATATTATATAAATTTTATGTTGTAAGTATATAATATTTTTAGCGTTTGAATGCCATCTCAATAAATAGCGACATCCATCTTTCTCTCTTATCTATCCTTCTCTAAACTGCATGAATCTATTCTCCGAATGTATTATATTACTGTAATCTCATTATAACTATTATCTATAGATATATACTTGTATAATTATATTAGTAATGCGTAAAAGAGAAGTGACAGTTTAAACACAACATACACGCCCACAAGTTTTTTTAACGTTTTTTCTCAAACGCATCACAAACACGAAGAAATTATTTAAAACATGAAAGCTTCAATAAAAGCAGTCCATGTCAGCTAAGTTAGTGGCAGTTGTTGGATTAATTTTGCTAATGAGATCGAAACTACTCGGGACGTCGCGTCGGTACCACCGAACAGTTCAGAACTGTGGCAAGAGAGGAAGTCGCGCGACGTTGTACGCGATGGATTTCTTGTTGACTAACTGCGTCTCCTTCGCAGGCTGTGACAACTCGAACCGGTACAACCGGAAAGAAAGAAACCGGCAGAATTCTCTATTTCTTCCTCCGTCCCACCTGTAATCTCTTTCTCCGCGCATTGTCGAAACAAGTACGGATTATAATCAGATCCCGAGGCACTTAAATCTCTCGGAAAAACGTCGGTCCGCGCTCACGTATAGGTAACCTCGACGATATTCTCTTTTCTTACATTTGCACAAAGGTCAAGTATGTGCTGCCGGCGTTATGCGAGAATGAGGCAGTCACGTGTAGCGTTGAGTGCGCGCCGCTTTTCCTGGATTATCTCCGGAAGTTCCATAAGCGCGAGCACGTTTATTACGATAAACGACTTTAGCATCAAGAGCCCGACACGTCCTTTCCATTTCATTCTTCCACTCAAGGCACAAAATGATAGAGATTTTATATTACGGAATGAACGAACGATACGAAATATTAAAACAGTGCTTTATTGATATTCCGTTCGTATCTCATTTACAAAAATGAGGCTAAATGAGGTAATTGACTTTTTTCTCCTTTCAAGCGGAAACGAGAGTGCGTCGTTATTGATACAACAAAGAGAGGCCGAGAGAAAGAGAGACATGTCAATAATTCCACGTCAATACGGCGAAAATGATGAATAGCGTTCCGACTGGTTTTATTAATGAAAAAAAGCTTGTCAGCCCTCGAGAGTAATACTAGTTTCAATGGTCACCCATACCGGGGAATGCCCGAGACGTAAATAGAATACGCACGCGCTTTCTATTTGTCGTGTTTTTATCCCCGTCAGCGTATTTGCAGTTCGGACTTCGGAATGCAAAGAGCGACCAGCGCACCCCGATTTTTTGGCTCGCGTATTTGCTCCCTGCAGATATGAAAAATTTTCACGCTCAAATGGACAATCTAAATTTACCGGGTGCGAGAAAGCGCTGACCAGGGTGGGTTCTAAGAATAGTCACATTTTCCAGTTCGCTGTGATACACCTGTGCGTCCAGTCGGTACACTCGGGGAAAATTCACATTGCGCAAAATGTTGGACAATTCATAATGTTTATCTAAGAAGAATGCAACAAACGTGCGTTTTCCACGAGTAATTTTACGAGGTTTCCTATTGTTTTCCTAATGTATCTTTTATTTACTCTGCGATGGATGGTGGACGCGGAGAGCACGTTGCGTAAATAAAATTTCGGTAAAGTATCGTATTCATTTAATTAAATTAAACATATGGCATCCCCGCAAATAAAATGATACAAGTCAAAAATATAAAACTGTTCAGAAGAGAGAAAAAAATTATTATATATATTTTAAGATTAATTATTTATTACGGCAGTATTAAATTTTAATATATACACGTCAATCTTCAATTAAATAAACATACGATTGGGTCATTCGTGTCTTGTATATTTCTTTTTATTAAAGTAGCAACAATTGATTATTCATATAATTTTTTTAAATACACAACGTTACAAATGCTTTCTAAAGACATTAAAGTATGTAAAAATCACTTAATAATTTCTGCATATTTGTAAAAACAATGAAAATTAATCTGGAACACGAATCCACTGTATGTAGTAAAAGACCTGAGAATCGTGCGTACTAAAGGTTAATTAAGAACTAATAATAAATATTGCTTACTTCAAGTTTTCTAGAAGTAGTAATATATATATATATATGTTAATAATGAGATATCAACTTTGTTACAGTACTATATTACCAGAAACTTTAGAAACTATTTTAATTTGTCATTTTTTTGTATCACTTTTATTTAAGAAATATTTGAATTGAATTTATAAATTATTCATTTTTCCTGATTAAAGATGTATTTAGAACATGATTAGCATTATTCGAAATTCAAATAATTTCGACTTATATCGATTTTTATATTTATTTGATTTTTATACTTGTATTTTATTGTAATCGGATGCTACCACTTTATTTCGGAGACTAAAAGGCGGATTAAACCGTGTATGTTTTCGATACTTCGTTTAACGTAGCTTTAAAAAAAAAAACAATCGTAGAAATCGCGGATGTGCTCTGAAATCGAAACCTTACATCAGAATCTGGCCATGAGCAATTTCGTCAAAACAAGAATGAGAAAGAAAAATATATGCAGGATATATATTCTGGATTAAATCATCGTTACATTTAAAATATAAATTTAGGACATCAAAATAAACAAAATAGTTGAGAAACTGACGACTAGGTATACGTGATACAATAATTAGATTTATCGAATTTCGATTTTACAATACGGAGTGCTCTCGGGAAAGAATATCTATGTGAATATGTCGCTAGCTGAGTACGAAGTGAATTATATGAGCAAGAAATTAATATTCACAAGACGAGCAGTAATCTCGGATAGGTCGTTTATGAAAATGATAGTATATTTAACGACACCCGCACTTAATATAAATTAGCCATCATTAATATCGCTAGTTAATACAAAATTTTTCTCTAAAAATTTGCTCGTAAATGTTTCGTTTAAGATCGAGATATTCTTAAGTTATAAAACAATAGAAATTTTTTTGTTCAAAACCTATCGATAAGAGAACGAATAACTGATTATGCGTCTGTATAATTTTTCCGTCTGTATAATTTTTACGCTTGCATTATCCGCCATTATTGTGATGATTAAAGATCGTTAATGAGCACTTTATGCACGTTTTGCTTCAAAGTAACAAAACCAAAAGTATTTCGACATTGTTCATTCCTACAGTTCTGTAACTTAAGAAGTCAATAGTCAAGTCTCTTTAGAAAAACGAAATATTTACAAACAAACTTCTAAAGGAAAATTTTATTTGTTTTAAGATCCTAAATTCATATTTTAAATTTGGCGAGAATATTTTGTATACTCTGTATCTTTTCATACGCTATCTCATTCTAACTTATATTATTTCATATGCTTTCTCATTATAACTTACTGAAATTGATGAAAACGATAGGTCTTTCGAAAGTTCGCCATTTCGTAACCAGACTCTGAGTACTCCAAGTTGTAGTAGGTGTCTCTACTCCGAAGTGGAAGACCGCGATCGCGCGGTCACGTGATCGCGTCATGCGAACAATTCGAAAACGACGCGACGCGGCGTCGAGTGTTTCTTATCTGAACTATGTCCGGACACTCAGGTATCATTTTATCTTTGTTCTTCATCGAATGCTAAACAAGGATAAAATGATAGTTAAGGAGCACTCGGAGTGGGAATCTGTTTCTGGGACTTAGAGTGAATTCGCTACGCTCTGCGCCGCGCCACGCCGTTCGTTTGTCGCTTTGTCGCCCGTGCACGCGTGTGTGATGTTGAACATACATATACATATACATATACGTGACACTTACCTGACGGTTTTTTGAGATCTCGCACGGCAGCCACAAGCAGCATCCACCGACGATGATACCTGGCGACGCGCGTCACCGCCGCCGGCGTGGAACTCGCGTAATGGCGTATCTTGGCACTGACCCGATAACGAAAGAAGGAAAAAAACTCGATCACGCTTGTATACGACACTGACTCGCGACGTGTCTCTGATCGACGTACGTCACCTCGCGACGGACTCGCGATGATCGAGAACGACGATCACACGAATGACAGTGTATGGCAACCAACAGATTGCCTCGACTGACGGAGAGTTACACGCAAAATCCTTCCACGACGAAGGTCGAAGCGCGACTGATTTGAAGTGCGCCGCTATCGCGCGCGGCAATGGTTCGCCGTGAAGTGCGCGCGCGTCACTCGTCTCCCTTCCCCTTCCTCTCAAGCTCTCTCTCTCTTGTCCTCGCTGCCTGCCGTTCTTCCTTGTGTTCGCTTGGAGCCCGCGATACGTATACCTGTCAATCTCTCACGGGCGGTCTCACACGATTATTTCCTACGCCGGCAAGTTAAACGCCCGCCCGCCCGCCTCTGTCATTTGCAATTTTATAATTTCGCCCAATTATCGTCTCGTAAAGCTCGCTGGGACTGTGTCAAATAAGCGCTTAGGCTCTTTCCCGTGCGACGTATGCTTGAAGTAAGTATGCCCTGAGAACGGAAAGCAGTTCTAATTTTGCACTATGTTGCTGCGTTGATAAAAAAAGTGATGCATTTCAACATTGACAGCTTATTTTTAATGGAATATTTTTGAAACTCTGAATTTGAACAATATTTTTAATTTGGATACTATGTATAAATATGTTACTTCTATAATCTATTATTTATTTCTGTAACTTTACTTTCTTTCCATAGGTATTACATTTTCAATCACAATAACTGTTATTCTTTATCAAAGTTGCTACATTTTTCCACATAAATAAATTACATATATCGTTTTTTCACGAAAATATATCAGTCTTTAGGATTGATTTTCTTTTATCTTAAAAGTACTATTTTCTTTTTACTTATGTCGCTTTTTTTATCAACCCAACATATATCTTCTATTTTTTCTCTCGTTTACTTGAATCCTTTATTTTTTTTCGCGAATCGATATTCCGTTGACCTTGATGCAACTTCGCATGATGTACTTTGATTTCTGATCGCGTTCAGATATGTATGTAATTTACAACTTCGTAATTCCGTGTAATTAGAAGCTCGTAAAGAATAGTTATAATCGCATTAAATATCGCTACTTTTCAATTATATCGAAAACAAAATACAAATTCGATTTTATGTGATATATTTCCGCTGTTTACGACATCCCGTTGTATGTCTCCTTGGCGTCATATGATTATTTTCAATTCTAACAGTCTTCACGAGAATAAACACATTCGCGATACATAATTTTATGATCCGACACAATTATCGTCTCATGAAAATCATTAAAATGTATCAAACGCCTCTTTATCTCCTCATTTTCAACATGCGAATATTGGGCCTTGAATATTTCAATTATCGCTCATTGTTAATGATGAATTTTCTATTCGCGACTTTATATGATGATTTAATAATGATGCCGTTGCATGAAATTATCATATTATTATTATTATTAAACACTTTCACATTACCGCGTTACATTTTCAATTTTGATTTATGCAGGACATGCTAATGTTTTATGCTGGAATTGTTACGGAAATCATTTACGCCAATTATTTACGACATATGATTGCAAAATTAACTGAAGTGTAGCCATGAGCGCAAATTAGCATTTACAGTCAAGATCAAATAATCAGCGATGGACAAAGGTACAATATATAATTATAATTTTGATGTTTTGCACCGATTACAATTTTATTATGTGAGAAATGAGCTTTAATACGCGTATTTTATTTCCCATTATCCGCAATACTAATTTATTATTAAGATATTGATTATTCTCCTCTTACATCTCATATGTGTGTGTAATTCCATAATACTTATACGTACGGGAAATGTCACATGATTAACAAAGAGATTCCGCTGTGATGGAACGCACAGTCATTAAAAACTTTCATATTTCATTATATTATATTTCCAATTTTGATTTATACAGAACATATTAATGTTTTATACTGGAATTATTACGGAAACGCTAATTATTGATATATGATCGCAAAATGAACTAAAGTGCAGCTATGAGCATCGAATTATCATTTACAAGATTAAATTTACAAAATCAAGATCAAATAATAGATGATGGTTAATGATAATGATATCATTGTACATTTATAATCTTGATGTTTTGCGCCGATTACAATTTTATCATGTGAAAGATCGACTTTAAAAAACATATTTTTACACATGTTTATCTCTCCCCATTGTACGTAATTCATTATACGTAAGATATTAGTTATTTCTCTTTTATGTGTACGCATACATCTTATATACGTATATACATGCGCATAGGAAATGTCATGAACGGCAAAGAGATTCCGCGGTGATAGAACGCACAATAAGACAGCGCTATGTAGACTCCATTACGAAAGGGTATCCATTGTGTCTTTCCGTTGTATGTACGTGTCGTGAAACAAAGCACGACAAAGGGCAAAACACGTAGCGAAACGATAAACAAATGGTTGTCAAGCCCCCAAAAGAACCCACTGTCGCCGGCAATAAGCATTGAATTATGGCCTAAGAAGTAATAAGATCTGTATACTATATAAATGGATCGTTTAAGGACGATGTTATTGTCAAACGTGAAATATAAAAGTCAAATTTATATCGATATTAAGGAATGTTAAGCGAATTCGCTCACCTGCAGTATACACTAAAAGTTGCTACAATACAAGCAAAGTTAAATATAAAAGCATATATAACAAATATTTTAAATACTCAATAATGATATTTAATCGCGTTATTTAATAGAATATTTTTCTTCAAAGTTGATTGTGAATGCATTTAAGTAATTTATGAAACAGCCTTTTTTTTAGTTTGTCACGTACTTAACACATAGGTATTGTGTAAAAAAAACATAAATAAAATGAATATTTTCAAATTTTATTTTCTATTGAAATGCTAGACATTAAAGCCTATTCTACAATGTGCTCTTTGTTTCTTGTTTCTTGTTTTTTTACCTTTTACTTTTTTCTCTTTTGCAACCATTTTATCGACATTTTGTATTATTTTATTGAAAATTGTATTTCTTGCTACGTATTTCTTGTTTCTTTTGAAATCCGTTAATTTCTATCTCGGACGATATAAAACAAAAAACTGGATGAGAGACAAAAAGATGTAAAAAATAGCAAAAAACGAGAAACAGGAAACAAAAAGCACATTGTAGAATAGGCTTATGGAATATAACACAGTACTAAGCAAATGTATGTATCCCTATAAAAGAAAAAGTTCTTGCATACAAAGTAAAAGAAATCTCGGAAATGTCATAATAAGAGTGAGTTATACCAATCCAATATAGTGACTGAATTGAATGACTATAAGTTACATTTAAAAAAGTTGAAATATTTGCAAGCAAAAGTTGAAATATTTACAGGTAACGTTTTCTTCGACATGTATTAATTGTAAAAAAGTTTGTTTGCAATAATGTATATACAATTCTATGAAATATATCTCATATCTGTAAAAAATAAAATAGGTATTTATCTTGCTAGAAATAAAATTTTATTTCGCAATTTAAAGAAGGATTTATTTCAGTGAGATAAATTGTATTGTATCTCAGAAGTATCTTTTTCTCGGTAATATTACACTTTAAACAACGCAACAAACTAATTACGAATAAAGAACGAAGTACGTTTTTTATGATGGAATAGAGAGTCGTGCCTGTTGGACAAGGAAAATAACGCAATAGTCGAAGAAAAAGTTTTTATTACGAAATCCAATTTTTTGTATACATTTCTTGTAAATCGTTTCCGGTATATCGATGCCGCGTAAAGAGAATTGTGATGTGAGAGACGTGCCATGGATTATTTACAGGATTATTCCGACGCAGAGTTAGTTATTCGTACTGTGTTGAGTGTAATGCGACGAGTAACGATTGTTTGATTGCGCATGGTGGAAAAGTTGTTCGAGCGAACGTGACGAAATGTGTGTAGATGCACGCTCGACGTAATCTTGATTAGCAATCGCGACATCGTCGAATAAGGACAGCATCCTTCCTTTCCGTTCTCGGCCTTCTAATGACGCGCGTTTTTTCTATGAGCCCCATGTCGAGTCGGCGTTTCTCGACCACAAGACATATCGTGTCCGTGACACGCGACCCTTTCTCGTGCATTCATTTCTCTCCTTTTCTTTTTGTTCGTTTTTTTTTTCCTTTGAAACCTCATGCGGCACGTGCGAGTTTTCGTGATGCATGAGTGATGAATATGCAAGACGTGAGCGATGGAAGTGACGGCGACGAGACGGCGCGCAGCGACGGCGACGATGGAGATGGTAACGATGCTGACGATAATGGTAATGATAATGATGATGACGACAAGAAAAGCGCGATCCGCGATGTCAGGTAGGATACTGGTTCCACATACATCCGTATCTTTACCGCTGTGTAGATGTTCCGCAAAGTTTGACGTCAACGAGAGGAGAGTATGCGACAAGATGACCCCTCGTCTCCACTCTTTCAGTTACGATGCGGGTGCTACATGGTGAGAAAAAAAAGAGAGAGAATATTAACGTGGGAAGCGACCGCCGTGGCATGTAGATAGATAGGGTGCAGAATTATTAACTAGAGCTAAGATGATAAGCCGATGATAAAGCCGAGGAGAGTAGCTCTCATCGATTTTCCTCCGAAATTGTATGAACACTGTAGTGCCGTGGATGATGTCTGATCGGTGCGCAATTCGCGCAGTTCGCGGCATGCCAAAAACGCTAGAGTTTTGTTTTTTAGTTCACCGAATGTGATGATTTGTTTTTTTAGTCCTTTGCATTTTATATTTTATACTTGAAGGCTTTGACATACCGTTCATGATGTATTTCGCGCTCTTTAGCGCGGGACTGCCTCTGATGCGGATTGTAACTCGCAATATCAAAATTAGATTAGCTAAAAATTAAGTTAAGAACGCAAAATTAATACGACGCCAATTTTGTCAGGTGACGTAGAATTGGCGATCAAAAAATTCCTGTATCTTCTCTTTCTTTCGCAAAATGTGAAATGTTTAATTTCAAAATGTTCATGCCAATGTTCCAATAAAAAAATAGATCGTTTTACAAAATTATTAGATTTATAAAAAAAGTAGAAAAAAGTATCTAAGTATAAAAAGTATCTTTCGAAAATTTCACTGTGTAACCTGAAAAGTAATATCAAAAGTCAAATCATAGATGTTTCACGTACTTTCGGTCGGCGCGGGTGTAGCTGGAACTGCGGGAGTCGCATCTGTGGGTGCAGCTGCAGGTATGGCTCCTTCAGCTGGTGCGACCGGTGCACCTTCTGCTGGAGGAGCAACTCCTTCTGCTGGAGGAGCAACTCCTTCGGCTGGAGGAGCAGCTCCTTCGGCTGGAGGAGCAGCTCCTTCGGTTGGAGGAGCAGCTCCTTCGGCTGGTACTGCTGGTGTTGCACCTACACAATTTTTTTTATCTTACTGAAGATAGTAAAATTTTTACATCACAGATTCATTAATGCAATTTCCTATTGCAGTACGCCCATTTGCAAGCGAAAAACTATATAAAAGCTGCGACATTAATAATATATAAATATTGGCAATAGTTGATCGACGTAAATCTTTTAACATGCAAAAAAGACATTTTAAATCATTTTTTTAATTTCTTTATAATTCTTCGACAAGCAGAATGTTTTGTTTTGTATTATTTTAATATTAATTAGCATAAAGTAATATTGTTATAAATTGACAACAAAAAACTTTTATTACCGATTTCATTTAAACTTTTAATTATTTCTGCTACAAACGTGTTCTATACGGAACATACGCGGTGTGTGTTTATGGTTAAAGAATTAATGTACAATGTAGATTTTATTAATACAAAAAAATCAGCTCTCTAAATCTGAATCAGTGGATAATCACTGATATCAGTGTAAGTATGTCACTGGTAATCAGTGAATTAAATGTGCGATACCTAACTTAGCTAATTTTTATTATGTGATCTAACTAATCTTGTTTTAGTGTTTAAATTCAATGAATATGGTATTGGAAGATTGAAATTAACGTGCAAGGATCAATATTTTAGTTATATAATGCTCAAACATTCTTTCTTTTTTAGTTAAATTTCACTGATTATCAAGTACAAAGTATGCTACTGGATAATTAGTGACAATCCACTGATCCAGATTTAGAGAGAGAATAAAATAAAAGAATAGGATAAAAAAAAAATAAATAGGATAAAATTAACCTTCAGCTGGAGCTGCGGTAGGAGCTCCTTCTGCGGGTGCACCCTCTGCAGGAATAGCGGTAGGTGCAGAACCTTCGACCGGAGGTACTCCTTCAGCAGGCACGCCTTCTCCTGACGGGGCCGTTCCTTCTGCAGGTGCAGCTCCTTCTGCTGGTGGCGCTGCACCTTCCACCGGCGGTGCAGCTCCTTCTGTAGGTGGTGCGGTCCCTTCTACGGAGGCTACTGCAAGTGCGCCTTCTACATAGTATACAAAATGGTGCATTTAGAAGGCAAAATTTAATGTTCTCTTCTCTAATAACTATAAAAAAGATAAAGATGGCGCGTTGTGTATCAGATTTTCGACAAAGAAAAATTTTCTAATAAACAGACGAATCGCTATGCCATGAAAATATCTTGAAAACTGTCGTATATTTCAAAATATTTAAGGCCTAGGAATTTACCAGCAGGTGCTGGAGCAGTTCCGTCCGCCGGCGGGACACCTTCAGCTGCTGGCACAGGAACTGCTGGAACTCCTTCGGCTGGAGGTGCCGCAGCAGGAACTGGTGCGGATTCCGCTGACGGAGGTACGGGAGCCGGAGGAGTTGGGCTTGGCGCCGGTTCTGGAGTTGGTGTTGGTTCCGGTGGTGGTGGTTCCACAGGTACTTCAGCTTGTTCGCCTTCCTACATGGAAAACGCATACTTACTCAAAATAAATTAATTATTAGGCAGTATCTTTAACATCTAGAAAACGTATTAGTTCTATAGCATATTGATTTTATATATTTATATATATATATATATATCAACAAATTAATATTATTTTAAAGTTAGTA